CACAATACAGAAGCCTGATGATAGCAGATGAGATTCTGCCAAAACGTTGCTACAACTTTAAAAGCACAACTATAATGACGTGGGAAAATACCCGAACAAAGCTGAATGCCATAGATATAGGTAGGTAGATAGATAAATGGATAGGTAGATAGATAGATAGATAGATAGATAGATAGATAGATAGATAATGTTAGAGTACCTGAAGACAATATAACTGACCAATCCCTTGGCTCTAAACATGTGTACAGATAGTCCTTGATTTACAACAGTTCATTTAGTGACCATTTGAAGTTACAACAGTAGTGAAAAAAGTTACTTATGACCATTTTTCACACTTATGACCATTGCAGCATCCTCATAATTTAACAATTGCAGTGATTCACTTAACAACAGTGCCAAGAAAAATTGCAAAATGAGATAAAGCTAACTTAACAAAGTTCTCACTTAACATAAATTCAGTTGTGGTTGTAAGTTGAGGACGACCTATATTTATATTTAATTTGTTCAATTTAGGCACCACCCAAGTCCAAGCCGGCTCTGGGCGTCATCCAATAAAACAAAACAGAAAAAAAAATCAGTACAATACTGATAAAAAGGATACAGGATTGCTCGTGTTGAAAATTTTTCTCAAGCCACCGAGAGGATCTGAAAGGCTTACTAGGAAGCTGCCTTTCAGCTGGTGGCCGATCTTGGAGTTTTAAAGGCCTCCTGTGAGTGCCTTCACAAAATGGCCACCCTCCTTTGGATCCCCCTTTTTCTGAAAGTGAATTCACGCGGCTGTTCCCTGGCATCTAAGCCTCTCCGCAAGGCTCCCTGGAGTCCAACTAACTATTTCTTCTCCTGGGTAGTTGGGCATGTTGCTCACCAACCCTCAGGGCACAACAACCCGTCATTTTTATTTTCTAAAATGGCTTTTAGGCCCTGTCTCTGGAAATAAATCATGATACAGAAAGCAGGCACTTGCCCTGTTTGGAATTTTCTTTTTTTTTTTTTTTTACAAATTTTATTCAGTTTTTCACATTAAAAACAAAAATCTCTTTTTAGTGGACAACATATTTCCGGGTCATCACCTTTACATACAAATATGACAGCAATTATACATTCATATATGCATACTTAATTCTATTATTACCTTTTCCATTCCAAATTTTCAGTAAGGAGAGAAGCAAACACATTAATTCTAGCCTCTTTCATTAATCTCAGTCGAAATATCTTTGTGTTTCATTTCAATTATTTCAAATATAATCCTTTAATATTTATTTTAATAATAAAGATAAACAAGATGTGTTTGAATAATAATAATAATAAAGGTTACCAATGTCTCTCCTTGCTTTTAATAGTCTATATTAACTTATTAATTTAGTTGGTTCTTTAGTCTGTCATATTCCTTTTCCATTACACATTCTTTTTATAAATTCTAGATTAATACAAATTTTAACACTAAAGAAAAAAAACAAGTATAGGTTTCCCCCCTTTTACTGCTTTGAGTGTGACACCTCAATGATTAAAATATACCTTTATTCCCTCATCCTCATTCCCAATAAACCATTATTTTTAAGAAGTTACAATAATAATCATTACATCTTTTCATTTGGATTCCGCAGCATATTTCCCCCCCTTAATTTTTAATAAGAGTTATCAGTATCCATATTACCCTATTTTCTAAATATTTTTAATTGCAGAAATATTCTTATTACACCTTGTCACCCTGCAGAATCCCTTTTTTAATTCATCAACCATTATCTCTGAAAAAACCATTTCTTTTCAACATTTTACTGTTTCCTTATTTCTTTATTTCATGTACATGTTTCTTACTGCTTCTCCTCCCCCTCTTTTCCCCATATCTTTTCTCATTCCAGTTTATATCCTTCTCTTTCTTAATATCTTCCTTTCCCCTTTTCTGTTGGGTCTGTCTGCCTTTCCCGACTTCACAGGTATTCCCCCTTTTGATTGCCTTCTTAAATTTCAACTTTTTAACCTTCTTTCTTTCCCCACTTCTTTGTAGCATTCTTTGTATTAATTGTCTATTTAAAATGCCTTCTCCTTGAGTCGACTCCTCCTCCTCTGAAGCTCTTTCTTCTTGTTCTTCAATCGCCATTTCCATTTTTTCTAACACAGAGCAAAGTGATCCGCCTCTTTCCTGTAGTAATTCTCTCATATTTTTAAGTTCCATTTTTAATTCCCGAAGAGATATCATCATTACACATTCTTATATTTTATGATCGTTAAAGTCCACAAAAAAAAAACCACCTTTTACTTTCCTTCTTTCTTCTTTCAGTTTTCTAAAGTTCTCAGTTATTCCAGCCCAGGGTCTATACCAAAAACATCAATCAATCCCAGTCAGTCTTTCCTTGCTTTTTTCTTTATTCTGGTTCTGCTTTCACCTTCTAAGATTCTTACTTTGTTTCAATATTTCTTTAAAGTTATATCCACACAAGTTCATTCAGAAACAGGATGCTTTCCCTTTTGTTTGAGCTCAAGTTTTTGTCAAAAGGTGGCGCTCTCCATTATACAAAGTCTTCACCTTTTTCTCCTATTTTTTTATTTAGGGTTTTTTGAACCTCAATATTCCAGCACAGTCGAGTCTCCAATTTGTAAACTTTATTATTATTATTATTTGACAGTCTTAAGTCCAGCTTTATTTTATGCCTGTTTATTGCCAAAATATTTTAGTCCAATTTAATTAAATCTTTAGTTCCAGCTTCTTCCTTTCCTGGTTCGAAGCCCCACTTAGCCATCAAAAATATTTTCTTATTTTTTTTCCTGTCCCTTTGTAATTTTGCCGCTCACTTTTCTTTTTTAAAAAATTCCATGTTACCTTAATCCCGGGGTACTTTTATTTAATTGTATTGCCCCAGTTCAGATGTTATCCACCTCTTTCTTCCCTCCTGCACAAATCTTAATCCAGCTGAGTCCTCCTCTTCGGGGTGGCCATTTTAAACCACCACTGCAGTCGTCTTCGGGGGGAAAAAGACCAAGCCCGGAGGGGAGATGCTGCTCCCCTCAACCTGGCTTGTGGCTTCCCCTTACTCCACCGCCCCTCCAAAGCAGCTTCAGCCCCTAATCGTAATAATTGGGGCTCTCCAACAAAAGAGCACAGAGCATAGCCGCAGAGAGTCGCGATCTATGATCCGTCAGCGAGGAGGCTCTGCCTTCTTTCCGAAAGTTTTTTTTTTTTTACATTGCTAGGTTCAGAAGTTAGCAACTTCTCAGAAGCATCACAATCACTACAGTTTATGTTCTTGGCTCTGCAGTTATGGCTGACATCCATCCTAGTCTGTCAGGAATAGCCAACATCCTAGCAGATAGGCTCAAGATCCCGATGGATCTTGACAGACTTGAACACTGAGCTCTATCTAACAAAATGAAATTCAGTGTAGAGAAAAGTCCTATGTTTAGGCAAGAAAAACCAAAAGCACACATACAGACTGGGTGAAACCAGGCTCAATAGCAGGAACTGGGAGAGGGATCTTGGAGTCTTAGTGGACAACCAGCTAAATAGGAGCCAGCTGTGTGCAGCAGCCGCCAAAAAAGCCAATGCAATCCTAAACTGCATTAACAGAGGGATACAATCGAGATCAAGGGAGGTACTAATCCCACTCTATAAAGCCTTAGTAAGGCCACACCTAGAGTACTGCATCCAGTTTTGGTCACCACACTATTAAAAAGATGTTGAGGCTCTAGAAAGAGTGCAGAGAAGAGCAACCAGGATGATGAGGGGACTGGAGGCTGAAACATACGATGAACAGTTGCAGGAACTGGGCCTGGCTAGTCTAGTGAAGGGAAGAGAGGATAGCATCTTCCAGTATTTGAGGGGCTGCCCCAGAGAGAAGGAAGGAGGTCAAGCTATTTTCCAAACCACCTGAAGGCCAGACAAGGAATAATAATGGATGGAGACTGATCAAGGAGAGATTCAGCCTGGAAATAAGGAGGAATTTTTCTGACAGTGAGAGCAATCAGCCCATGGAACAGAAGTTGCCTTCGGAAGTTGTGGGAGCTTTCAAGAGAAGACTGGACTGCCCTATGTCAGAAATGGTGTAGGGTCTCCTGCTTGGGCAGGGGGTTGGACTAGATGACCTACAAGGTCCCTTCCAACTCTGTTAATCTGTATCTGTATCTAGTAACCAGCAAAGAAGAAAACGACAAAGAGAACACAGATGAGGGGTGGGCAGATGCCAGACACCCCCACCCCCGGGAGGGGCCTGGGATTTCCACCCCATCCGTCCTAAACCCAGGTTAACAACCTGCAGCTCCAGTGTTTTACGAAACGTCCGACGCCCAAACAAGCGATGGGGCTGGTCTGGTTTCCATGACAGATTGAAGGGAGAGTTGGGTTCCCGCAAGATGCTCAGGTTCAGACGAGCCAAGCGTTCACCGAAGCCTAGCGTGTTGTGCGAACCTAGCTGCTAAAAGTGTCCCGAAGGTTGTCGGCAGCGGAGAAACCAGGAACTTCACGGGCTCCAGCCAAGCAAAGCCACTCTTCTTCTGCAGGTACAAGCGTCCCTTTGGCCTCGTCTGCGTCTCGCCTGCTCCCCAAATTTGGATTTCTCCCCTCCGGCTCTACACGCTCCCCTCCCCACAACAGCCGCGGGAAAGGGCAGCCCTCGGTTGGCCGGGCCAACTTGCAACTCGCCGGAGCATCGGGCAGCGGGCATGCTGAGAACACAGAGCCTGTGTGGGGGTGGGTCGCTTAGCCTAGACATGGTGCTCAGATCCCCTTCTGGACCATCAAGTCTTGTGCAGATGTTCTCCCCGTGACAGCTGCTCTGTCTGTCCGTCTTCCCTCCCCTTCGCCCAAACACCCCACCCGAGGGTGGAAAAAAATACCGTGGCATTTCTCCGAAGAGACAACCAGACCAGAAAATAAGTTTGGCAGCCCCATTTCCCGAGCCCTCACCCCCCTTCTCCCATCAGTCCCCTGGTTGGTTAACACTCTGTTGTCTCCTTGTCTCCCCCCACCCCCACCCCCTCCCCACAACCCCTGCACTCACGACGGACAGGTGACTATCTCCGTGGACGGAATCCTGACCACCACCGGATACACCCAAGAGGACTATACCATGCTGGGGTCGGACGACTTCTTCTATATCGGAGGGAGTCCCAACACGGCGGACCTGCCCGGATCCCCCGTCAGCAACAATTTTATGGGATGCCTCAAGGATGTGAGTGGCGGGGGGGGGGGATGGTTGGGACCAGGTGGGACGGGGAGGAAGGCTGAACTTAGTGCTTAAGTGGAGGAAGGTTGAGGGCGCGTCTTCTCCCCTCAACCTGTCCGTTCCCCACATTTCTTAACATGGTGGTGGTTGTTTTTAATTTCACCAATATGTCACAAAGGTGCCTTATTTCAAGAGGCAACTAGACTTTCTGTTTTTTCTTCATTTTGCTTCACATCCAAGAAGCTTCTTCAGTTCTGACTGGATGGTGGGGAAGGGAAGGATTGATCCTCCTTGCAGACAGCTGGTCATTTGCATCCTTTTAGAGAGCCGTCGAGGCCACGTGGAGGTTTGTCTGTAGTGCAAAGGGGCATGGAGCCTTCTTGGAACTGCTGAAAGGAGCTGGGTTGTAGACTGGAGATGGACAACGCCTCCTTCCCTCTCTGTTGAGGGAGGGCTGTTTAAATTTGGACTTAGGTGGCCTCTTCGACCCCTCTTTCAAACCAGCGGTCCTCTCTGTGCCAATTTTTTAACTTTATTTAATTTATTAGATTTGTATTGCCGCCGATTTGCCAAGGCGACTTTGCTGTCTTCAAATGCAGATGGACTGCTCAATCTAATCCTGATGGGTTTGTTCTCCTATGTTGTGCCACACATTTGTGAAGTGGTGTTTCCACTTCACAACATATAGATCTGCATGTGGCTCACTGCGTCTACCACTAATACTGTTTTTATCACTTTCATGCGTTGTTGGCCCAGCGCTGCCTTCGTGAGACGGGCAGCCATTATAAATCCATTTAACATGTAAAGTTTCTAGTCCTCGTGGTCTTGGGAGCTAGGAATTCTGGGAGCAATCACTTCCCTACCTTTGGAGGACACTGGGTGGGCTGGTTTATAGGCAACCCAAGTCTCCTTCTGTGTGCTTGTGGTTGTCCAAGCTAAGAAGTCCCCTGGGACAGGATGATGGTTCATTTAGTGAGGGAGTTTGTTCAGGTAAGATGTGCAGCTGTGAGACGGACTCGGAGGAAGAACCACACACAAGACAACGGTAAGATAAAAGGAACCTGAGCCTGGACCAGAACTGCACAGATCCTCAACTTACAAACATTCATTTAGCAACCAATAGCACTGAATAAAGTTGAGTTATGACTGGTCCTCACACTTACAACCATTGCGCATTGCCACAGTCACAGGATCAAAATGTGGGTGCGTGGCTGTCAGCGTGCATTTACGGTGGTTGCCGCATCCTGGGAACACGAGGTCACCTTTTGCGAGCTTCCCAGGCTGCTTCCAAGAAGCAAAATCACTGTGGGGTGAGAGGTAACTGGATCCAGTTAACGACTGAAGTGCTTCACTTAACAACACTGGCAAGAAAAGATCATAAATTCCAGCATGAGCCACAAAACAACAGAAATTCTGGCCTCAGTTGCAGTCGTAAATCAAGGACTACCCTGAGAAAGCATCTCATACCTTTTGGGGTATGTAAATAAAGGCAGGGAGGGTGGGAGACACTTTCGAGCTCCCAGGAGCCCCTTTCTATAACTCTCTAATAAAAATATGGGGGTGCGGTGGCTCTGTGGCTAAGACGCTGAGCTTGTCAACCAGAGCAGTTCGGTGGTTCAAATCCCTAGCGCTGCGTCGTGGAGTGAGCTCCCGTTCCTCGTCCCAGCAGCTTCTGCCAACCTAGGAGTTACAAAAGCACGTAAAAAAAATGCAAGTCGGAAACTAGGGACCCCTTTGGTGGGAAGGGAACAACGTTCCTCCGTGCACCTTTGGCGTTTAGTCCTGGCGGCCACGTGACCACAGAGACGTCTTTGGACAGCGCCGGCTCTTCGGCTTTGTCACGGAGACGAGCAGCGCCCCCTAGAGTCAGAAAACGACTAGCACATATGTGCAAGGGGAACCTTTACCTTTTACCTAGTAAAAATAGCATCAGCGTTTATAACTGGGGTTTCCTAGCCTGGTCTACCTCAAAGGGCTTACAAGAGCCTACTTGTTGCAGGGTCCAATCTGGGTCAGTCACTGGGACCAGAGTTTCTGCCTTCCAAGCTTCCAATGTGAGGCTAACAATGAGTTTGGAAATATCTACCTCCTCCAAGCAATCTTTACTATGCATAACTATGGAGATTCTCAGTCAGGTTTGTGTTTGTGTTTCCCAAACGTACTTTTTCAGGAGGCAGCTGGACTTCCTGCTTTTTCTGTTGAAGACATTTTGCTGCTCATCCAAGAAGAGAAGCGAAACGTCTTCAGAGAAAAACCAGGAACTCCAGTTGCCTCTTGAAAAAAAAAGCACCTTGGGAATTACCGTTCATCCTCCTATGCAGGGGTGGGATTCTACCGGTTAGCACCTATTCTCTAGAACCGGTTGTTAACATTCTAAGCAGTTCAGAGAACCGGTTGTTAGAAGAAATTACTGGGCTAATCCTGTAAGGAAGGCAGGAAGGAAACATTCTGGGGTTGCTTACAGAAACTGCCTCTCCGTCAACCCTTATTACGTTCTTGGCGGGACTAGACTTCCTGTCTCTGGAACTTCTCTGGAGTTTTTTTCCCCTCCTTTGCTGGCACTTTGCTTGTGTGGAGTGACCATTCAAAGTTACAATGGCACTGAAAAAAAGTGACTTATGACCATTTTTCACACTTACGACTGTTGCAGCATCCCCACAGTCACGAGAGGCCAGGCGAGGAGATGTGTGCCTCAATGTGTCTGATGTTGAGCTGGCCACGCCCAGCCAGTCACATGACCACCAAGCCATGCCCATCAACTAAGCCACGCCCACGGAACCGGTTGTTAAAAATATTGAACCCCGCCCCTGCTCCTGTGGTAGTCTTTTGGCAGTGTGCCATGCCTACCACCAATGTAATCTACTGGATCCCCTGCAAGGATTGCTCCTGTGACTATGTAGGACAGAAGGGGAGGAAGTAATCCCCAGATCGAAAGAACCCAAGCAAGCATTCAGATGAGGAGACCCAAAGTCATTGGTCTGACTTTGCAATGAACAAGGACGTACATTCAATTTTACAGCTACTAAGATTGTTGGCAGAGCAGGCCCAAAAACAGCCAGGGAAATGATTGAAGCCTGGGAAATGTCCCCCATCAATCAGCAACAATGTGCTGATTTACCCCCAGCTTATCACGTACTTAGGAGTGGAAGGCTTGGCAGCACAAGGAAACAACAGCCAATGACTTAATAGCCGGCCATCAACACCCCAATCTACATCTAAAAAGCTACATTACAACAAGCACCGTATAAATACCACCTTTGTTAACTGTTGTAAGTCGAGGACTGCCAATACTTAACATCTGGATTCAAAGTTCTTATGGTTTGTCTGTCCCAGTCACATCTTTGCATTTTAGATACTGGGCAACAGACCGGCAGTGACATGACTGCAATTTACAATTTTTTAAATTAAGTATTTATTATTTATGTATTTGTAAAATTTATTAGCCAACCCTCTTGCCACGTAGGCAATTTTGTTTGGCGGGGGGGCATAAACTGCCATTTACCTCTGGTTTCTGGCAAAAAAGAACAACCCCAAACAATTGCGAACAGCGAATTCACTTAGGGATCATGACATTTGCTTCACAATCATTGGCTTTACGACCGCCACATTCGCTTAACAATGGCCACAATAGCAATACTAACATTGACCCTCCTAACCAACCTGCATGACTTGTGGCCAGAATTCTGGACTCGGTGAAGGCCATAAATCAAGGAGGACCTGTATTAATTTTGCGAGGTTTTGGTTTGGCGGCATGATTGTGGAACTCCTCTGATTTTTTTTTCCGAATTGGATCTGATGCCCCCGATCTGGAGACCATATTGCAACATCAACCGTCCCTCCTATGTGGTTTGTTCAGGCAAGGCCGCCTCCAGCTGGCTGGAACAGTCGTCACCAGTGTGATGCCAAACTGGGAAACCCTTCAATCTGTTGGCATTGAGGCCTGCAATACGGACCTGATTCTGAGTTGAATTCAGCTCCAGCCAGCGCAGTGGTCTGGTTGATCAAAACTGACCAGGCGATTCAGATTGTACGAAACCGACAATGGCAGTTAGAGGAGGGGGCCACTGATGATGTCTCGCTGGCGCTGCTGCTCTTCTCCTTTGTGCCAGAGGGGCCTTTTCCTTGAAGGCAGCTGGACTTCTTTTTCCCTTGAAGGCATTTCTCTTCTCATCCAAGAAGCTTCTTCATGAACTGAAGAAGCTTCTTGGATGAGAAGCGAAACATCCTCAAGGAAGAACAAAAGTCCAGTAGCCTTTTGAAAAAAGCACCTTCGAGACAAGCGTGTCCTGGACAGTTGAGAACCTCCACTGACGCTCTTCTCCTTTCTTTGTAGGTGGTCTACAAGAACAATGACTTCAAACTGGAGTTGTCACGCTTGGCCAAGGAAGGAGACCCTAAGATGAAGATCAACGGGGACCTGGTCTTCCGTTGCGAGAACGTCGCCGCCCTCGATCCGGTCACCTTCGAGTCGCCCGAGGCGTACATTTCCCTGCCCAAGTGGAACACCAAGAAGACCGGCTCCATCTCCTTTGATTTCCGGACCACCGAACCCAATGGGCTTCTCCTCTTCAGCCACGGCCGACTGCAGCCGCCGAAGGAGAGCCGATCGGAGCGCATGCACAAGGCAGATTATTTCGCCATGGAGCTTCTGGACGGCTACCTTTACCTGCTGCTGGACATGGGCTCGGGGGGCATCAAAATGCGGGCCAGCACCAAGAAAGTGAACGACGGGGAGTGGTGCCACGTGGACTTCCAGCGCGATGGGCGCAAGGGTGGGTATGCCTCCGGATCGTGCGTCATTGTCTCCCCTGCAGCCAAGGTGGGCAAGGAAATAGAGGCTGTCGGGTGGGGTGATGCTTCAGCAGTGCGAGAGAGAGACAGAGAGACAGGCGAAAGAAGTTGTAGTTTCATCATCCAGATCAATTTCTTTCTTTGCTAGGCAACTTATACAACCTGTTGGGTTTTCCTTTGTCAATATTAACTTACCCAGAGACATTAACAAACAGACCACAGGCAGGCAAAAAGACAGTGGAAGCAGGCACGATTTCCAACTTTTGACTTCCTGACGGCTTCCCCATGGACTTCATGGGAAGCTGGCAGGGACCGCAGAAGTGCAGCAGCCATAGGTTGGCCAATATAATTTGTACAGAGATCCTTGAGGTTTCAATGATATGTGGAGCAGTGGCTCTACTCCTTCTTTCAGTGAGCAGAGTTGAGGTACTGCGATTCAAAAATTGTCGCCCCGCGATGCACCATTTTGGCTAATGAAAGTGACAGACAGACAAACAGACAGGAAAACCATAGTAATACATTAGGTTCACTATGTAGTCTTGTGTTGGCAGCAGAGCAGAGGGAATTTGGGAAGAGACCCTCGCTGCCTTTTTTTCTTCCCATTTTGTCTCCGTGTTATTCTCAGAGAAATGGAAGGGCCGTTGGCAGTCCCCGAATCTTCTTTTCCCTCCCTGTCTGCTGTTTCACTCAGGAATCCGCAGGAGTTCCTGGTTTGAAGCCTATTTGCCAGTCCGGTCCTGTGATTTCAACAGGATCTTTCACCGTTCAGTTACTGATCCAGTAACTGCTCTGGCATAACAAGCCTGGTTCATAGTGGCTCTGGTTAGCTTTGGTGTGGCTTATGATGCACCCTTGAGGTTGATTCACGGCTGAAGGGATTGGGCAGTGGCAGAAAACAGAAAACAGGTGAATTTAATGCAGGGAATCCTCGACTTACGAGCCCAGCGTTTATGTTGCTAAGTGAGAAATTAGTTAAGTGAGTTTCCCCCATTTTATGATTTTTTTTCTTGCCATATTTGTTAAGTGAATCACTGCAGTTGTTAAATTAGTAACATGGTTGTTAAGTGAATCTGGCTTCCCCTTTGAGAGCTTCTGACAAGCAAAGTCAGTGGGGGAACTCAGATTCACTTAACAACCATGTTACTTACTTAAAAACAGAAGTAATTCACTTAACACTTGTGGCAAGTAAGATTGTAAAATGGGGCAAAGCTTACTTAACAAGTGTTCTACTTAGCAACAGAAGTTTTGGGTTCAATTATGATCGTAAGTCGAGGACTACCTGCAAAGCATTTTAATTAAAAGCAAACTTAAAACGAAACACACGTTATAGATATTTGACGGCATGCAAAATGTTTGAAATTCCAAAGTTTTGGACTAGAAATAGATGGTTTGGACCTGTTTCAGAAATGTGTCATCCCGCAAATGTGCCAGGGGGCTCCTGTTTTGAGTTTGGACACTTCTGGTAAAGAGAAGGATCCGTCCTAACTTATCAGGCAGTAAAAAGACATAGCAGGAGATGTGTACTTTCAGACTGGAAAGATTCTGTTCATGTTGCCATACCATAAAGTACAATGATAACAGTGTGCGGCGGCAGCCAAAAAAACTAGTACAATCAGGGGTGGGATTCTACCAGTTCGCACCTATTCGCTAGAGCCGGATGTTAACACTCTAAGCAGTTCAGAGAACCGGTTGTTAGAGGAAATTACTTGGCTAATCCTGTAAGGAAGTCAGGAAGGAAACATTCTGGGGTTGCTTACAGAAACTGCCCCTCCATTAACCCTTATTACATTCTTGGCAGGACTAGACTTCCTGTCTCTGGAACTTCTCTGGAATTTTATTCCCCTTCTTTGCTGGTACTTTGCTTGTGTGAAGTGGCCATTCAAAGTTACAATGGCACTGAAAAAAGTGACTTATGACCATTTTTCACTCTTACGACTGTTGCAGCATCCCCACAGTCACGAGAGGCCAGGCGAGGAGATGCGTGCCTCGATGTGAGTGATGTTGAGTTGGCCATGCCCAGCCAGTCACATGACCACCAAGCCACGCCCACCACCTAAGCCACCCCCACAGAACCTGTTGTTAAAAAATTTGAATCCCACCCCTGAGTACAATCCTTGGTTGCATAAACAGGCATAAAATCAAAATCACATGAAGTATCAGTGCCACTTTCTAAAATAAGGCCACGCCTGGAATGCTGCATCCAGTTTTGTTCCCCACATTACAAAAAGGACACGGAGACTTTGGGAAGAGTGCAGAGAAGAGAGCTACCAGGATGATGAGAGGACTGGAGCAGTGGTGGGATAGACTACCGGTTCTGTGGGCCGGGCTTGGTGGGCGGGGCAGGGGAAGGAGACTGTAACATCTCCAGTCAGAGGTGGCGGGATTGGCCGGTTCTGCGAACTACTCAAAATTTCTGCTACCGGTTCTCCAGAACTGGTCAGAACCTGCTGAATACCCACCTCTGGACTGGAGACAAAAACACATGACGAACAGTTGCAGGATTTGGGTTTGGCCACTCTGGGGAAAAGAAGGCCTGGGGGAGGGGGGACTCCCATGATAGCAGCCTTCCAGGATTTGAGGGGCTGCCCCAAGGAAGTGGTGGGTGGGTCAAGTGATTCTCCTCCAAAGCCCCAGAAGGCAGGAGAAGAAGCAACGGAGGGAAACCAACCAAGGAGAGAAGCAACCTGGAATTAAGGAGAAATTTCCTGACAGTGAGGACAATTAACTGGTGGAACTGCTGGCCACCAGGAGTCGTGGGTGCTCCATCATTGGAGGACTTTAGGAAGAGGCTGGACAGCCACCTGTCTGAAATGATAGAGGGTTTCCTGCTTGAGCAGGGGGTTGGACTAGAAGACCTCCAAGGTCCCTTTCCAGCTCTCTTGGGATGGATGGATTGTTTCCTGCCTGGTCTACTTGGGAGCCCAGGCTCAGTCTTGCAAGCCTGAAAGTACGAATCTCCTCATCTCCTTTTATCCCCTGAAAAGTTAAGAGTGGGTCCTCCCCAAGTCTCTTCCTCCGCCTGTTATTCAGCCGGGGGCTCCTCTCCCTATTATCCGACTGTCCCCTGCGTTGAGCTTGAGCCGTTCTCTCTCCCAGGTTCCATCTCGGTCAACAGCCGCAGCACCCCCTTCCTGGCCAGCGGCGACAGCGAGATCTTGGACCTGGACAGCGAGATGTACCTGGGGGGGCTTCCCGAGAACCGCCTGGACCTCATCCTGCCCCCGGAGGTCTGGACAGCCTTCCTGAACTACGGCTACGTGGGTTGCGTGCGGGACCTCTTCATTGATGGCAAGAGCCGGGATGTGCGCCGCTTGGCTGAGGTGCAGAGCGTCTCGGGGGTCTCCAGCTTCTGCTCCCGGGAGACCCTCAAGCAATGTGGCAGCACCCCCTGCCACAACGGAGGCCTGTGCCGGGAGGGCTGGAACCGCTTCATCTGCGACTGCTTGGGCACCGGCTACCTGGGCCGGCTGTGTGAGAGAGGTGAGGACGAGCGGGTGGGAGGGAGGTGTAGGCCAAAAGGTCTCGGGATGGGTTCACACAACCTCGTGAACCGGGCTCGATTGCAATCGGGTGGCTGCAATCCTACGGCAGTGGTCAGGTCTCATGGTGAGCTTTCATTGAATCAAGCACCCCTCCCTCCTTCCCTCTTTTATTGCCCTTCTTCCTTCATTCCCACCTTCCTTTCTTCCTGCCTGCCTGCCTGCCTTCCCCTTGCTGTCCAATTCCCCTCGCTCCCTCCCTTCTTTCCTCCCTCCCTCTTTTCTTGTTCTTCCTTCCTTCCTTCCTTCCTTCCTTCCTTCCTTCCTTCCTTCCTTCC